ATAAATACATACATGCCCAGGGCAGAGGAAGCTCTTTGGGATGGATGAGCAGAATTTTTAACCCAGTCATTTTCAACAGTTGGAGCAGAAGCTATGGGTAACACCCTGATGAGAGAAATTAGAGCATGCATGCCTGCCTAATTTCTCCTGTGAAATGAAGAATGAAGAAGAGCCAGAGGAGAGTGGAAGTATAACACAATCCCAGAATGACAAAAGCAGGAAATTTTTCAATTAAAACTTACTACTCTGGTGAGTATAATACTGCAGGTTGGCACGCAAAGACAACGGTTAACTGCTATCCTTAAGCAAAACCAGTCAGAATTATCTTCATCTCACTGGCGGCTCTGCTTAGCCAGACTGCGCTCTCCTTCTCGGCAGCCTGGGGCAGGCGGGTCCAGCGCACGGTCCCAGCGGCTGGCGTGGCTGGCGAGCGCCGGGCATTGGTGGTGTCGGCTGGCCTCCCCAAGCTGCCGAAATCTGCGAGCTCAGTGGGCTGGTCGTTCGGTCCGTGTCTGGATCCTAGCGCAGAGAAGGGGAACTTGGAGTATCTCCGGTTACGTTTCGTAAAGCGAGATGGCTGCCGGTCTCTCTCTTGGTTCCAGCCAAATGGACTTACAGCAATAGCGCGTTGTGCTGCTTTCTGTGTCAGGTAGCTGAAGTGTACGGTCAAGTGTATGTGCTTGCCCACCTAGCTGTCTGTGTGCTGTGCACGTAAAACAGAAATAACGTTTTGTTCATACGTCATTATTTTTGAAGTGATTGCCAGAGGTGCAGTAAGATTCATGCTCCAGAATAACAGCGTCTTGGATATATGTAAACCAGCTTGAGAACCCTGACTTGCACGTTTAGAGCCCACAAGTTGTGCTACAAAATAAAGTAAGGTGTATTCAAACTACGACAGAAATGTGCTGCACTGTGTGTACCACTGGCATCTGCACAAAAGCTGCGGCTTTTCACCTCGACGGCTTGAGTCTAGCAGACTTGCGTTCCTCGAGGTGCTATGCAGTGATGTTATGGTGGGAAGTCCGTCTTGTGATTACAACTTTTGCAGCCATTATTTATTTTTTTAATGACGCATCACTCTCTCTGTCAGGTAAACATAACAGGCACCATAAGCCACTAAATTTGGTGGCTTCTCTGTATTTCTGTTTCGTCAGTGAAATTCTGATGGAATCGGCTTAACAGGCTTGAAAATGGGTTGTGATGCAGCTAGTACTTTGTCTTAAAACATACTCGGAGAAAGTGAAAGAGCTGATCTTATTTTTCTTTTCCCCACATGTTAAGATTTCCTGAAGTACAGGACAACGTAAATAAATGTAATAAAATGCTGTAATAAAAACAGTGAACTAATGCTCTTATGCATTGCAGAGAACGCTCTCCATGCATCATAAGTAGGTCTTGGGTGTTGGTATGCTTCAGTATGCCTACGAAGCCAAATATCTCTCTGTGGTGAAATCAGGTTTATCATTAGAGTGTAATTTCCCTCTAAAAACAAGTTTCCTTTTAAGGATTTTATCTAAAGTAACTAATGAATGTAATGGCATTAAATAATAAAATACTGTTACGATGCCAAAAATAACTTCTCTGTCTCTTTGATCTTCATTTCAGCTAAAGCTATAAAGTTCCACCAGAGACTCTTGTAAACAGACTCCATTAATCCAAACAAATTGTTTTGAAAAACAGTGACTCTCATAGATGTTAAGACAGCGAATAACCTTGAGTTTTAATTTTCAATACAGCTTGAGTTAACTCTACATTAATTGGAGTCACACCTCTAAGTCATGTTGTACTGCTCTGAAATCTGCATGTGGCTACTTCTGTTTGTCTGGAGTTTAATTAATAATTCCTTTATTTCTTGGCAGCAGCCATTAATGGGCAGGGAAATACAATTCCAGGTATAGGCTTGAGCCTTTGTGGCTTCTGCCTGCCTTCAGCATACTGGGGCTCTGGGCAGCGCAGGCGGTCCTAGCAGCACGGAGTCTTGCAGCAGATGAAACACAGATACGTCTGTAGTATTTCCAACTGGTCTGCTGATGGGAACTTTCTCTAGTAGCCTTTAAGTCTTTCTTCTATCATTGAAAAAGTTCAAATTTAATTTTTTCTGCATTGTTTAGTAACATTCAGTTCATGTGTAATGTAAGTTTCTGTGTGTTTGCATGCTGCTTAATTTTTTGTTTTGCCATAAAGCTTTACGTGATTACCTAAGAATAAGAAGGATCCCATTTAAAGAGATGCAGACATATGTTATTTATGTTTAGAAAAATAAATATATCTGGTTCTTACAACACGTCATTATTTTATGTGCTTCTAAAGAATGCAGCGATTGATATAATTATCTCGATTAAGAGTGTCAGTGGAGTTAATAAAGAGAAGTGCCCTGAGAACTGCAGTGTCTGTACGGCTTGGCCCTTTGTGCCCTTTGGGGACCTCGTTTCTGATTGCCTTGTTCTTTCAAAGTTCCCTTATGGGGCAGGGGAACAATTAACCCCCATAAAGCGGAAGCACAGGAGCAGCTGGGCCTGCTAATGATGGCCAGTGTGGATTTGTGTTGTGCCTTACATTGATTTCTCCCCAGGGCAGTCCCTCGGTATTATCCTGGCTCGTCTTGTGCCGTTAAGTGCCCTCAGACAACGTGGTGCCACTCCTCGTGGCACACAGTACATGCGTGCACTCAATCTTGCGCTACTGAAGACGTTGCTCTGGGGCAAATCTTGTGCCTTGTGGACGTAACCAGCCCGCTCCAGTCTGCTCCAGCTAGTCCAGAGGAGCAGAGGCAGAGACGGGGCTGTGTTGCTTGATCAATTCCCCACAACGTAGCCCACAAAAAAAGTAAAGAGTTTGCCAGACATGATACGAAGCCTTGGGCTGACTCCCAGGTCTTCCTGTAAGCTGGTTCACCAACTTACAGTTGAAAAATAATTTGTGTTTTCTAGAGTTTGATTACTGGGGTTTTGCCTGTTTTCCTTGTTGCTCCTGTTTTTGAATGCCACCTTAATGGTCAAGCATGTGGAGAATAAATGAGCAATTCAGATGGGTGACTGGCAGTGGGGATGGAGAGTGGACTTGGTTGTTGGAGTGCTCAGCTTGTCCTTTATCACATACTTCTCACCTGAATTTAATTCTTGCAATGGGAGGATAGCTGTATGAAGGTCTAAGTGCCAATGTGTTGAATAGCAGTGAATAATAGAAGAACGGGAGATGGCTGAAAAGCCAAAGGCAGAGGAGTCAGTGGTGGTTTGGAATGTGCACGTTAACCCCAGGTTGTAAGCTTCCAAAGAAAAGCAAGAAGGCAGCTGTAGGAGGAGGCAAGGAATTTCCTGGCAGTGTCAAAATAAATGCTGAAAACCGCATTTATCGGTATGAATATCACAGCTGCGTTCTTCAGAACATCCTTGTGGTACCTGAGATGTTGAGCATGAACAGGGCTTGGTGCCACCGTGGCAGTAAGAGAGGGAGAGGAGGGAGATGGCACCTTGCATTTTTGCAGGAGATCTTTGGCAGGGGACAAGGTGTGTTTTATTATAGTTTAAGCATTTGTAAGGCTCCCTCTGTAGGTGTCAAAGGAGGAGAAGCTTCTCCAAAGGTTGATTTAGAGCAGCTATATCGGGTATCTGTCTGGGTCTCCCTTTGCAGGAACTCTGTCAGAGGAGTTTTCAATTTGTGTTAGCTGTAGAGCCGGTGAGATGGCCACCAAAAGTTGCTAGGCTTTTATGACTCTCTTAACTCTGTGTGTGTGTGTGAAATTCCAATAAATGCACAGTGAAAAGTAATGTCATTATTTTATTCCTGTGAGAGAGAGAAGCTTGTGTTGTTCATAACGCTGCAGTATTGAAGAACATAATGCAGATGGTTTGAGTTCTGTCCCTACCCTGACTCTGTTCAATACAGCTTTCAGATATTTGTTTTGTTGGCATGTGTATACAACTTCCAGTTATTAACATTTGATTTATTTAAGTGTGGGTGCAGCGGGGAAGTATTAGATTCCACATCTCATCTACGGGCTTGCTCTTAATAAATTGCTCTCTTGTGGTGGTCCCTCAGAGCTCTAAGGAGAAATGCAGTTGTACTCGGTAACTAGAAACAATAAATTTAAAAAACAAAACTAGCTATTACTGTAACGGTCATTGCTGGAAACAAATGAAATTAATTTAGCGACTCTGTGGCTGGAATTAAAGGGTTGTGTCTGGTTTTTCTTAAATATGTTGTTAGTCAAGATGATGATGTGTTTATGATATTACAGAAGCATAGAAATTTGTGGTACTGTATGAAGACATTTTATTTCAGCTCTAATCATGGGCAATCTAAACATAACTTACTGACTGTGAAAAGCACATGTGGTAAACTGTCAAATATGTGGGTTAACTGTCTGTCAGTCATTTATTCTACTAAGCCACCACTGCTGCATGGTGCGTGTACTACTTATTTTCTTGTTCTGGGGAGAGAGTGCCTGTGTCTTCTCTAAGCGGTAAAATAAGCCGTTTTTCTAGTTCTAGTACTGGCACGATTACTATCAACTTTTTGAAAGCTTGGTGCTGAATACAGCCTGATGCCTGAAAGTCCCTAGCTGGTGCCAAGGGACTGGCCAGGAAGCGTTGGCTGAAAACCTCCTCTTTAAATTTTTGCGAAGTGTGTACTCGGAGCTTGCAGCTGTGTTCGTAGTTGAAGACTGAACCATTTCTGTGTTACGCTGGCATTAAAATACAGTGGGACTTTCAATGTGAATTGAAGGCGATTGGATTTAGATTTGCTCCACACTTCTGACAAATGCAGTGTAATATTGACCGATGGCATAAGAAAAGTAACATGAGACTAAACGTTACTAAGTGTTGTGAATCTGTGTGGGGTTTTTTTTTAATTGTGTGCTACTCTTAAACTGCCCCTTAACTACATGGGTAACTAGGAGCTTAAAAAGCATGTTTGATTAGAGTAGTTGCTATTTCATTCTCCTGTGGGTTTTTTCCTGACTTTCTGTTCTTTTTTTTGTTTTTTTCCTTTCTCAGTCTTCATGAAGAAATCATTGACTTTTATAAGTATATGTCTCCCAGACCTGAAGAAGAGAGAATGCGGATGGAGGTGGTGAACAGGATAGAAAACGTTATAAAAGAGCTCTGGCCTAATGCAGATGTGAGTAGGACATTGTTCTGTTTGTTAACTAACATATAAGAGCAACATTTTGTGCCTGTTTGCTTTGTGAAGTATTGAATAATGAAAATACTATTTCCATATTAAAAAACACACAAAAGGATTTCTGGTCAAATAAGAGAGATGGTCTTTATTTCTAGAATAATACAGGTCAACATCTTCTGTCACACATAGGAACAAAGACAAGCTAGACCTGCTGTAGTCAAAGAAAGGGCATAAAGTGTGGCAGCATTTAGTCTCATTAATGTTTATTTATGGGAAGGTATCAGGCATGCATGCGTGCTTGTAAAGTATTGTGTTTTAAAAAAAAAAATCTGAAAATAGCTTCACTAGTAGCAAGCCTCCTAGTCCAAAGACCTGCAGTCTTGAATAAGTTTAGTAAGGTGGAATGCCAGCCATGCTACATAGACCATACTATTTTTAATGGGCAGTTAAACTAAAGTGATATATCTTACAAATTTAAAGGAACCAGTTTTGTGTACAGGAACAAACAAGTCTGTAGATTTGTGTATTGAGCTTAAAATCTGTAATGCCTCTTTCCACTGAAGATGTTTTTTTGCTAGTACTTCATTCAATTGAAACAAAAGTTTCTCCTGTGCAGAACTATGCTTTTTAAAAAAAAAAAAAAAAAAAAAAAAAGTTGGATTAAAGAGAAGCCAGAGAAGTTGCTTTTACAACTCAGGATGGTTTTACGGGGACATAGTTGGATTTTTAGCATAAATGAATCTAGTTCAATTGTATCCCTCTACTAACATGGCGTTCATTTCAGGATGCAGATTTGTAGCCGTAGTCATCTATTTGTAAATAACGGTAGCTGAAAATAAGAACTTGTTAGCTAGGATAGCAAACCAAATTCAGACAGCAGAATCTTTAGTATAAGGAAAGCTCTTCGATCCTGCCACAGTAAAAGACAGTATTTTGACATTAGTGACTTAAACCCACTGTTCATTTCAGATCTTCTTAACCTGTTTGTTGGAATGTGTTTTTAGAAATTGGTAGAATACGGCAGAATATGAGTTCTGTATAAGCTATATGTGTGTGGTGTGTAAAATACACTCACATTTTCAAGGTGGTTCATGTTGTTAAGGACAACACATTAGGACGACGTGCGATACGGAAGGAGCACTCCCCACGCAGTGGTAGTCGCCTTTGCACAGTTAGAGGGGCTGATAAGTCAGTACTGCCTATGTGTCTGGTAATTTCCTCTTTGAACAAAACCAATCACCTTTCCAAGGGAACTGTGCAAGAGACTTTAGCATATCTTACAGGTGTTGTATAGCTCTCCTCTAGCCCAGAGAAACAGTGCTGTAGGTGCTAATCAAGAGCAGGAGTGGTGGTCTGCCA